AAGGTCTCCTGGCCCAGATGGAAAGATCTGTGAGTAAAGAGTTTTAACTTCTCACCGGTACAGACCAGACAGGGACTGGAACTCCGACGGGCTGGCAAGAGGCAGTCAGGCTGCTGCAGGTTCCCCAGCATCTGACCTGTCACTGCTGGGAAGGGAGAGCCCAGCAGTTCTGGCAGCTGGTCCTAAAAGGAGCCACAGCTGTGGCTTGGCCTAGGTGTGTGTCCTGTGTTTTGATTGCCCTAGGAAGAGAGCCCTGGGCTTTCTTTGAAATGGAGCTAACTAGGTGTAGTCATAGCTCTTAGGGAGAGCAGCCAGGAATTCAGGGGCTGGATTGTCCCTGCAAAAGGAACCCACTAGACCTTTCAAATTATATTGCTAAAAGCCAGTCACCTGCTTACATTTCAGACAGATCATTTGTACTTAATTTCAAACTGCTGCATTATAATCAAGTCTCATCTCCTTCCACTTAAGGCCTGCACTGTGTAGTAATCAATGCTGAGGGGCTCAAACCCCCAAAGGTTTTCCCAGGGACCTTTACCAATATGAAGATCAAGTAACAGCATTTGCTACAGGAGCGTTAGGTGCTATCTCTGGTATCACTACATCCTTGGATCTGGTTGTTTCTGGAATGCTTTTTCCTTTACATTTCCAATCCAAGGCAAGCCCCACTTTTCCCATAGAGCTTCCTTGAACTCTCCTTCTCCTCAGCACTTCCCAAGCTGGTACAATTTGTTAGCTTGCAGTCATGTATTGCAACCTTTATGCGGTCTTTATCTGAGCAGTCTTAATGATGCTCCAGGAGAAAGTGGCCCAATAAAAACCACCAAAATGACAAGAAAACTGCAAAATTTGGTAGAACTGCCCCATAGTTGAGGAATGACAGGAGATTGGTTAAATCTATTTCTAATTATTTTATTTTTTGGTAGCTATTATAAATGGGATTGCTTTCCTGATTTTGTTAGCTAGTTCATTATTGGTGTATAGAAATGCTACTAATCTTTATATGTTGATTTTGTATCCTGCAACTTTACTGAATTTGTTTATTAGTTCTAAGAGTTTCTTGCTGGAATCTTTAGGTTTTTATGTATATAAGATCATGTCATCTGCAAAGAGTGACAATTTGACTTCCTCTTTTCCAATTTAGATACCTTTTATTTCTGTCTCTTACCTGATTGCTCCGGCTAGGACTTCCTGTACTAGGTTGAATAAAAGTGGTGAGAGTCGGCATCCTTGTCTTATTCCAGTTCTTAGAGGAAAGGCTTTCAGCTTTTCCACATTAAGTATGATGTTAGCTGTGGGTTTGTCATATATGGCCTTTAGTATGTTGAGGTATATTCCTTCTGTGCTTAGTCTATTGAGAGTTTTAATGATGAAGGGATGTTGAATTTTATCAAATGCCTTTTCTGCATCTATTAAAATGATCATATGATTCTTGTCCTTTATTCTGTTGATGTAATGTATTACATTTATTGATTTGCTTATGTTGAATCATCCTTGCATCCCTGGGATAAATCTCACTTGATCATGGTGTATTATCTTTTTGATGTGCTGTTGGATTCAGTTTGCTAGTATTTTGTTGGGGATTTTTGCATCTGTGTTCATCAGGGATATTGGTCTGTAGTTTTCTTTTTTGTTGTGTCCCTCTCTAGTTTTGATCTCAGGGTAATGCTGGCCTCATAGAATGGTTAGGAAAAATTCCCTCCTATTCAATTTTTTGGAATAATTTGAGAAGAATTGGTGTTCTTCTCATTAGATTGATAGAATTCAGCAGTAAGGCCATACAGTCCTGGGCTTATTACTTGTTATTGGTCTCTTTAGCTTTTCTATTTCTTCCTGGTTCAGTCTTGGTAGGTTGTATGTGTCCAGGAATTTATCCATTTTCCCTAGGTTCTCCAATTTATTAGTGTATAGTTGTTCATAATGGTCTCTAATGATCCTTTATATTTCTGTAGTATCAGCTATGATGTTTCCTTTTTTGGTTCTGATTTTATTTATTTGCGTCTTCTTTTTTTCTTGGTTAGTCTAGCTAGCAGTTTACTGATTTTATTTTTTCAAAAAACCCCATCTTTTTGTTGCATTGATCCTTTGTATTGTTTTTTTGGTCACTATTTCATTTAGTTCTGCTGTGATCTTTATTATTATTTCTTTCCTTCTAGTAATTTTGGGCTTGGTTTGTTCTTTTCTAGTTTCTTGAGGCGTATGTTAGGTTGTTTATTTGAAATCTTTCCATACTTTTGATATAGGGGATTTATTGCTATACTCTTAGCTTTCACTCATTCATGCTCTAGTGTGCTCACCAACTCTCCTCTTTGCCAGACCCAGGCTCCAAGAGGAAGGTTCCTTCTCATCCTGTTCACATTGTGTCTCCAGAACCCAGGGGGCAGAAGCAGATTAATATTTGTTGAATGACTAAATGGCAGCAGTTAAGGGATCCACCCAAGGCCAAGTACTTGGTCACTAGGAGTGTCAAGGGGGATTGTCACTGAAAGTGAGTGCTTTTTCCCCCTTTCTTGAAAGAAAAAAAACACTATACTCTTCTTAGAACTTCTCTATACCACCAATCCAATGAGAAAGAAAATCGAAAGCCCAAAGTGCAGCAGAACCACTCCTGGGCTCACAGCTTCATCCAACTGTGGCTCGGCTGTGGCTTGCAGGCCATGGGCTTGCACCGGGTGTTGTCGGGGTCACCAGGCCGCACCACCCAAGGCCATGTGGGCTGCATGAGGACGTGCAGCTTCAGCGCCCACTGAGGGCTCCCAGCAGCCGGGAGCAGAGGCTCCTAGAAGCAGAAGCACTGTTCTCCTTCTTGAACTCCCAAAATTGAAATATTTGTTTGCTTTATGGTGTCTCATATGTCAGTAGGCTTTCTTAATTTTTCTTTCTTTCTTTCTTTTTTTTTTTTTGACTGGATTATTTCAAAAGACCTGTCCTCAAGTCAGAAATTCTTTCTTCTGCTTGATCTAGTCTGTTGTTGAAACTCTGTGATGTATTTTTTGTTTCATTCATTGAAGTCTTCAATTCCAGGTTTCCATTTAATTCTTTTTTATGATATCTATCTCTTTGTTGAATTTCACATTCAGATTATGAATTGTTTTCCTGATTTTATTGGTATTATTTTTCTGTGTTCTCTCATATCTAAGTTTCTTTAATATTATTGTTTTGAATTCTTTTTCAGGCATTTATTGATTTCATTTTTGTTGGGATCTATTACTAGAGAATTATTGTGTTCCTGTAAAGGTGTCATGTTTCCTCGCTTTTTCATGTTTCTTGTGTCCTTATGTTGCTATCTGTGCATCTGGCATAACAGTTGCTTCTTTCAATTTTATGGATTGGTTTTCATAGGGAAAGCCTTTTTCCTATAGCTATATCTATAGTATTGGTTGGGTAGGGTGCTTTGGCGCAGTAGTGAGTGGGTGTAGTAATATATTCTTTACGTGATTTCTTTGGCTGTAATTAACATCACTGGTATCTGTGAGTTCCTTAATGGCTTAAGCTGTGATTATTAGTGGAGGCTGTGGCAAAGCTTTTCCGCAGATGGGGACACTATGTGGGCTGGTTCTTGGGCACAAATAGTGGTGGCAGTAGGCTGGGTATGCTGGTCCTTGGGCTCCCCAGGTGCGTATATGGGTGCCAGTGGTGGCAGACATGTGTGGGCCAGACCTTGGGCCTCCAGGTGGCTTGCTTAGGTGTTGGTGGTGGCAATGGTGGGCTAGATGGACCAGACTCTAGGCTTCCAGGTGGCACACATGAGTAGGTGCCAGCAGTGGTGGTGGCTGCTGGCTGGGCAGGCCAGTCCTCAGGCCCCTGGGAGGCACACATGGTCATCAGCCACAGGCAGGGTGGGCCAATCCCTAGACCCCTGGACAGGGTGCATGAGACACAGGCACGTAAGACCTGTCCTAAGGCTCCAAAAGATGTGAGGTGGTGGTGGCAGGCAGGATAGAGCAATCCTAGGCCCCAGGACAATGCACACAGGTGCCAGCAGTGGTGGCAGTGGGTGGGGTAGGCCTGTCCTCAGGCCTCTGGATGTTGTGCTTGGGAGTTGGCAGTGGCGGGCAGGTCAGGTCAATCCCCAAGCCCATGGACCATGCACTGGAGCACCAGTGGCGTTGGCAGTCGGTGGGGTGGTCCTGTCCTTAGGCCCTTGGATGGTGTTCATGAACACAGTGGTGGTAAATGGGATGGGTGAAACCCCAAGCCCCTCAGACAGCTCACTTGGGCACAGGTGACAGTGGTGGTAGGTAGGGCAGGCCTCTTGAGTATATTCTTAATTCACCCAAAAATTTAGTTTATGTCTTCTAAGCAAGCCTCAGTGTTATGTCTTTATTTTATTACTTTTCTATTTATAAAAGTAATATTAGTTGACTGTTAAAAAATATTGGAAAATGTACAACAGTAGAATGTAGGAAAATCAAAATTGCCCATAACTGGAGTCCTCTGCTAGTCATGTACATATAGTTAATTAACACTAGATATTATGTATTAATAATCATTTCAAAAAATCAGAAGCATATCTCTACTGTTTTGCAACAATTTTTGAAAATTAATATATATTGAACTTTCTCACATCATTAAGTAATTTTTATAATATAGTTTTTCATTTTTCCATAGTATTTTAATTTGTTTTCCACCATTTACTTAATTCTTTTTTGCTGGCCATTTTGGTTGTTTTCAACTATTTACTATTCAAAAATAACATTATATTCCTCTCTGATTATTTCTTTGGAATAAATTCCTGGAATTTCTGGGGCAAAACGTATGATCATTTTTAAAGCTTTCGGTAGACAGCAGCAAATTGCCCTCCAGAAACATAGTGCCAATTTATACATCTACCAGAAAAGTATGAAAGAACCCAGATTTTCACGATAAATTAGAAGGTTACCGTATTTTTATTCAAACGGTAAGCTGAATATTGCTGTAGGTGGCCTTAACCTCAGCCACTGTGTTGTTAAAATGCAAATGTTGAGTGACTATGTCTTTTGGCTTCTCTTTCCTTGCAGGCTCCCCCTCCTAAACCACCTCGCTGCAGACAGGGAGGTTGGGCAGACGAGTCCATGAAGGCTTCAAAGTGAGTACCAGCAGCTCACAGTGGTGGGGTTGGGGGTGGGCAGGGTGCAGGGGGGACTTTGCTCCTGTGTTTTATTTTTTATAATAGCTTTATTGAGATATAATTTCATGAAGATTTATCTTTAGATTAATTGTTTCCCACGCGGAAGTCCAGTTATTTCAAAACTGTTTGTTCAAAAGACTAACTTTGCTTCATTGTATTATCTTTGCTACTTTGTCAAAGATTAGTTGACTATATTTATGTGAGGCAAATTCATTGCCATTGTTCTTTGTTCCTATTTTTTGTCTTTCACTGTTTTTCTGTCTTTCATGATTTTGATTGAGTGTTTTATATGATTCCATTTTTCTTTTTACTTAGCATATCAATTAACTCGAATCTACTTTTGAATAACAGTATACCACTTCACAGACTGTGTAACCACCTTAAAATAGTAAAACAGTCCTAATATCCTCCTCCTGTCTGTATATCACACACCATACAATTCACCCATTTAAAGCATACAATTTAATTTTTTTTTCTTTTTTACATTCACAGAGTTGTGAAACCATTACCATAGTTCATTTTGGGACATTTTTATCACACCTCCCCCCAAAGAAACCCTGTACCTGTTAGCATTCATTTCCCATGTCCCCACAACCCCCCCAGGCCTAGGCAACAACCAGTCAACTTTCTGTCTCTATGATTTGCCTATTCTGGACATTTCACATAAATGGAATCATACATTATTGTCAGTTCAGTCCATGGCTGGACTTTGAAGTGTTTCCCCAATTCTTGGGCTCCTGGCTTGAAGGAATCACAAGCCTTGGCCCGCATGATGGATAGAGATGGCAGACACTCAGCAAGTATGTGTGAAGAATTTATTGTGTGTAAAGTTTAAGGGTGCAAAGCAAAAGTACATTTCCTAAGGGAAAATGGATCTGTCCGCGCAAGTGGAGAAGACACTGTCTACTTTGTTTTTCCTTTTATATGTTTTGTGTTTAGGTAAAAGTTAGTTACAACTATTCATAACTATACATCACTACTTTGGGGACTGAATTCTTTCCAGGTATGGACATGACTTAAAGGTTATGTTACAGTCATTGTTTCTAGTGTATGTGTGGTGGGGAAAGTGCCGTAACCTGTTAATGGTGTTTTTTCCATTCTCTGACTGGTGGTCAGTGTTCCATGGCCTAATTACCCCATTCTTTAAGACTGAAATAACCATTCTCTTTTTTATTTTTCTGTAACGATTTCCTCCTTATTGTTTTTCTATAACTGCTTTCTCCTTTCTGTTTTTCTGATTTCCATTGACTCTCACTTGTTTTTTTGTCCCTAACATTATGTGGCTTTATGGGTGGCTTCTCTCACTTGGCATAATGTTTTCAAAGTTTACCTATATTGTAGCATTCTGCGTTCTTCTTAAGTAGTTTTCTCAACATAATGGAGTTGCTTGTTGGTAATAGCTGATGTAAGTCCCCCACCCCAGACATAGATTATTCACGCATGAAGGGGAACACTACATATGTACCATCACCCGGGCTAGTAGGTATCTTTGTTTACTGTAAGAGGACATGAATATCGGCACTATGACCATCTAGTATTATCAGCCTACCGAGTTCCTGGGAAGAAGGATAATCTAATGTCACAGTGCGTGTGGCAGTACTTTATAAACAGTGTAGGGCTTACAGTGTGTGGCTGCAGATACAGATTGAATTCTCATCCAGCTGGGTGATGCTGAGCAAAGTGTTTACCATGGCTAAGCCCCACACCGATGCTCTCTACAGGGTGGTGCAGGGATTGAAGGAAAGTATGTGTATAACAGGAATGTTGCTGTTGTTTTTAGGCGCCCCCCAACCTTCCCACAACTTAGACCAGAGGCCAGTCTCTTGTGGTTTCATACTGAGAGGTGGCAGAGTGCAGTGAGAGCTGCAGGTTCTGGAACCAGACTGCCTGGTTTTGGATCCTAACTATGCCACTGGCTATTTCGGAGACCTAGAGCAAGTAATTTAACATCTCTGTTTCCTCATCTCCACAGTGGGGTTAAAAATAGTTCTTACTTCAAAGTGTTATTGTGAGGATTAAATGAATTCATACGTGTAAAATGTTTAAAAGAGAAAGAAGCATTTAGGAAGTGCTTGATAGATGTTGACTATTACTATAATGATGATTCTTTCTCTTATCCTCATTCCTTCCTCATGGACAGGCTTTGACCATATTCTTCTGCTAGGCGTTCTAGCAGATGGTAACATTTATAAGTTGCAGGAGCTTGGAGATATTTACAGTGGCATAAATACTTCTATATGAAGGGTCTGTATTAACTAATATTTAACATATAGTTTATATTTAAATTTCTCTGTTTGTTCCCCAGATATCTTTTATAGCTCCAGCATCCAGAGCTTGCATGTTGGATTTCGTAGCTCTGTCTCTTTAGTCTCGCTTAATCTAAAATAGTCCCCCACCCTTTCCTACCCTGCATAGACATTGACTTTTTTGAGGAATCTAGGCCAGTTGTCTTGTGGAATATCTCACATTCTGGATTTCTCTAATTGATTCTTCATGATTAGATTCAAGTGGAAGGTTTTTGGCTAGAACAGGTGATCTTGTGTACTTCTTAGCATATCAAATTAGGAGGCATGTGATGTCCACTGATCCGTTTGTTGTTGTTACTAAGTTTGATCACTCGGTGTAAGTGGTGATCTCTAGATCTCTTCATTGTTTTCCTTTATAAATAATGAGTGATCATTTGGGGTGCCACTTTGAATGCTGTTCACCCACAGTCTTTTACCCAGTGATTTTAGCATTCATTAATGATCCTTGCCTGAGTCAGTTTATTATTTGGCAGTTGCAAAGTGTTAATTTTTAATTCCATCATTTCTTCTATATTAATTACCTGGAGTTTTTCTATAAAGAAGAGTTTTCCTTTTCTTCTTCTTTTCTTTCTTTTTTAAAAATCACAGACTCATGGATTTTTTATTGTTCGTTGTCTTATAACTCATTCCCATCATCGTTTTTTCCCCATAATATTAACTGTTAATGCTCAGATTGTCCCAAGTTTGGCCAGGGGGAGCTTCTTCATGTTAGCTCTTAATGTCTGTGATCTTTCCTATTAATGTTCGAGCACTTGCTTGTTTTCTGACACAAGTTATTCAAAAATCACTTTGTATTTTCCTTGTCCAGTCCTGGAGTCAGCTACTTCTCCAAGTAGTACTTCTCCAAGTAGTAGCTACTTCTCCTGACTCCTTTTGCTAGAGAATGGTTTCAGAATTCAAGATCTGGGCACACACTACTCATTGCTATTGGGATATGATTGCTTCTAGGCTCTTTTAGTGAACAGAGCTAGGAAATCCATTAAAAAAAATATGCCCTCTCTTAATACAAAGTATTTTTATAATTACTACATTAGTGTCATTATCAATAGCAAACTTCCTAAGTAAAGCTCAAGATTTCTTTGTAGTTCTTCTTGTCCTTAGAATATATCACACTAAGGTTCAGAATACTGTTTTCAGAAGTTACTTGAATTCTTTCCCATGTGGGTTAAGATATCAATCTAATACACAATTAGGTTCATTTGTTTCTGTTTGTGTTCAACAGGTTTATTTTTTTCATCCTTTTTATTTAATTTACTTTTGAATATGTAAGACATTTACATGGATCAGAAGTTAAAATTGTGTAGAAAGATACACTAACAGGTGTCCCATTCCCCACCCTTATCCCCACCACCTCATTTCTCATCCATGCCCTGTAGGTAGTCTCTTTACTAGTTTCTGATTTAGCCTTCCTATACTTCTTTTTTGTAAAAGTAAACATATATATATATTTTTTTTTTTTAAATTTCTCCTTTGTTTCTATATGCTATGTGCCAGCAAACTGTGGCCTACAGGACAGCTGCCTGTTTCTAGAAAGTTTTATTGGAATACAGCCACACCCTTTTATTTTTAAAATTTAGATCTGTGATCCATATGGAATTTACTCGGGTATATGGTATGAGATATGGATCCAATTTTATCCTTTTCTACATGGCTGTTGTCCTAGCAACACTTATTAAAAAAAAAAAATCCATCTTTCCTTAGTGATTTGAGAAGCCACCTTTATCATATTCTGAATCTTTGTGTGTACCTGAGTCTGCTGTTAGACTAGTTATTCTGTTCCAGTGGTCCTTCTGTCCACTTATAGGCTATTAATTACCACACTATTTTCTTTATAGACCATAACACTAATTTTTAGTATTAAGCAAAAATAAGAAGGTGACTTTGAAATGTAGATCTCATATACTAGTGAGAGTCTTATAAAGAAGCCATGTTTTTCTAAGCTATTAGGGGATTTTAGTGCTTGTCATATCTGGAATTTATTTTGAAATATGAAAATAAGACAAATCCTATTTCTGCTCCTTAGAGAACAAAAGGTTATCTCAGGTGTTTATTCCTCAATGAAAACAGTAAAGATTTTTCCAGATCAAATCAATCCCCACTTGGAGGGAGATGCTTTTCTTTTTCACGTGCTCCTTGCCAAGGTATCTGCCTGCTTGGCTCCTCAGTCTGTGGCCTGGTTCTGACCCCTCTAAACGCTGGTACAGCCAGGGCTCATGCTGTGAGCCTCCTGTCTTCTACGCCGACACTCACTCTTTGCGTGATCTCAACCCAGTCTCAGGTTTAACAATCACCTACACACTTGTGACTCCAAAATTTGTATCTCCAGCACTGTCCTTCCCCTAAACATCCAGTTGTCTACCTGATGTTTCCCACTTGAATATGCAGCTCAAACTTGTCATGTCCAAGTCAGTCTCTTAACTTCTATGCCTTCTTCTTCCTCCCCTAACCGCTCCCCCAAAGTCTTCCCCAGATCTCAGCAGATGGCAACTCCATCTTCCTAGTTACTCAGACCATAAACTTTGAAATCATCCTGGACTCATCTCTTTATCTCAACTCATTCAGTCCACCAGCAAGCCATGTTAGGTCTATGGTTGAAATACATCTGTTGTTTGTACTGCCAATGCCCAGCCCCAGCCACTATCATTTCTAACA